AGCATTACTACGAACAAAGTTACTCCAGGTGATGGAATTGCAGCTGGGCTATTTAAAACTCTAAAAGATGATGCTGTTAAAATGCTGCACTCAATATGTCAGCAAATTTGGAAAACTCCCTGGTGGCTCAGATGGTAAAGAATCTGCCTGCAATGTAGGAAACCTGGGTTCAATTCCTGGGTCAGGAAGATCCCCTGGAGAAGGGAATGGCTACCCACTCCAGTATTCTTGCCTGGAGGATTCCATGGACAGAGGAGCCTGGCAGACTACAGTCCATGGAGTTGCAAAGAGTTGGACATGACTGAGTGACACTTTTACTTTCAGCAGCAGCCACGGGACTGGAAAAGGTCAGTTTTCATTCCAATTCTAAAGAAAAAAAATGCCAAAGAATGTTTAAACTATCACACAGCTGTGTACATTTCTCATGGTAGCTAGGTTATGCTCAAAATCCTTCGAGCTAAGTTTCAGCAGTATGTGAACCGGGAACTTCCAGATGTTCAAGCTGGGTTTAGAAAAGGCAGAGGAACCAGAGATCAAATTGCCAACATTCACTGGATCATGGAGAAAGCAAGGGATTTCCAGAAAAATTTCTGCTTCACTGACTAGACTAAAGCCTTTGACTGTGTGATCACAACAAACTGTGGAATATTCTTAAAGAGATGAGAGTGCCAGACCACCTTAGAACCAACGGTTAGAACCGGACATGGAACAACTAACTGGTTCCAAATTGTGAAAGGAGTACAACATGGCTGTATATTATCATCCTTCTTATTTAACTTATATGCAGAGTATATCATGTGAAATGCCAGGGTGGATGAATCCCAAGGTGGGGTCAACATTGCTGGGAGTTATATTAACAACCTCAGGTACATAGTTAATAGGCTAATGGCAGAAAGTAAAGAGGAACTGAAGAGCCTCTTGAGGAAGGTAAAAGACGAGTGAAAAGCTGGCTTGAAATTCAACATTCAAAAAACTAAGATCATGGTATCTAGTCCCATCACTTCATGGTAAAGAGAAGGGAAAAGGGTTGACGCAGTGACAGATTTTATTTTCTTGGGCTCCAAAATCACTGTGGACGGTGACTCCAGCCATGAAACTAAATGATGCTTGCTTACTGGAAGGAAAGCTATGACGAACCTAGACAGTGTATTGAAAAACAAAGACATCACTTTGCTGACAAAAGTTCGTATAGTCAAAGCTAAGGTTCTTCTAGTAGCATGTGTGGGTATGAAAATTGGACCATAAAGAAGGCTGAGTCCTGAAGAATTGCTTCTTTTGAATTGTGCTGGAGAAGACTCTTGAGAGTCCCTTAGACAGTAAAGAGATCAAACCAGTCAATCCTAAAGGAAATCAACCCTGAAGAGTCATTGGAAGGACTGATGCTGAAGCTCCAATACTTTGGCCTCCTGTTGTGAAGAGCCAACTCATAGGAAGAGACCCTGATGCTGGGAAAGACTGAAGGCAAAAGAGAAGGGGGCAAAGGATGAGATGGTTAGAGCACATCACCAATTCAATGAACATGAATTTAAGCAGGCTCTGGGAACTAGTTGGAAAACACCACCATCAAAAACATTCATAGTACTTCAACCACCAGAATACACCTTTCAAGCTCACATGAAACATTCACCGAGAGACCATATCCTGCAGCATAAAACACACTTCAATAAATTTAGAATAGAAATACAAAATATGCTCTTAGACCCCAATAAAATTATGCTAGAAATCAATACTGAAAAACAATTGGTAACAAAGTAAGGTGAACCAGAATTTTAATTTATGAGATGCACCAAAATAGTGCTTAGTGGGAAAAATATAGCATTGAAAGCATATATTAGAAAAGATGATCTAAAATCAATACTCTGTAAGCTTCCACTTTAATAAACTGGATTTAATTTACTCTTTTTCTAAACTAAGTAGAAGAAATAAGTAATTAAAAACAGCAGAAATTCATAAAATTGTAATAGGAAGTCAAGACTGGTTCTTTGAAAATATTGGTAAAACCAATAAGGCTCTAGCCAGGCTAAGAAAAAAAAGAGATGACACGGATCACTAATCTCAGAAATCAAATAGGTGACAACACTATACAATGAGCCCATTGACGGTAAAAGAATAATGAAAGAATATTACGAACTCTGTAGGCACCAAAATTTGATAACCCAAATGAAATAGACCAATTCCTTCAAAGACACAATCTGCCAATACACACACAAGAAAAAACAGTGGATCTGAAAGTCTTTTCTTAAGCAAAACTGAATGATTAACAACCTTCCAAAACAGAAAGAACCAGGCCCAGATGAGTTCACTAGTAAATTCTACCAAATATTAAAGGAAGAAATTATACAAATTCTCTACCATTTCTTCCAGAAGATAGAAGCAGAAGGAATAATTTCTAATTAATTCTGAGGCCAGCATCACCCTCATACCAAAACCACACAAAGACATTACAAGAAAACTTAAAAATTAGTATTCCTTCATAAACACAGATATAAAAACCCACAACATAATATTAGAAAATCAAATCCAACAATGTATAAGAATTATACACTATGACCAAGTGGAATTTATTCCAGGTGTACAAGATTGATTCAACATTTAAAAATCAAGTAATGTAATCCATCACATAAAACAGGCTAAAAGAAAAACCACAAGGTCATATCAAAAGACAGAAAAACATTTGATAAAGTCCAACATTCATTTACAATAGAAACTAGCAGCAAACTAAAAACAAATAGGAACTTCCTCAACCTGATAAAGAACATCCACAGGAAATAGCATACTCAGCTAATATCATACTCAGTTGGTAAGAAAGCTTTCTCATTAAAGTCAGGAACAAGGCAAGGATGACCTCCTCTTACCACTCAGTTTGAAAATCAAACTGGGAAGTCCTAGCTTATGCCATGAGATAAGAAAAGGAAATAAAAAGCATAAAGACTGGGAAAAAAGAAACAAAACTGCCTTTGTAAATGACGTGATCATCTATGTAGAAAATCCAAAAGAATCAACCAAAGAAATCCTGGAACTAACAATGATAGCAAGGCTACAGGATACAAAGTTAATATACAGAAGTCAGTTGCTTTCCTATATACCAGCAGTGAGCAATACTATTTACATTAGCACCTCAAAAATTACATACTGAGGTATAAATCTCACAAGATATGAGCAAAAGTGTGAACCTACATAAGTCAGATATAAATGGAGAGATTCCATGTCATGGATCAGAAGAGTCAGTAACGATGTCATTTTCCTGAACTTGATCCGTAGGTTCAATGCCATTCCAATCAAAATCACAAAAAGCTATTTTGCGGGTATTGCCAAATTGATATATGGAAAGACAAAAGACAGGAAATAAGCAATATACTGAAGAAAAGTAAAGTCGAGACAACGACATTACCCAACTTCAAGAAATACTATAAAGTTACAGAAATCAAGACAGTGCAGTGATGGAAAAGGAATAGAGAAACAGAATAAAATAGAGCCCAAAATAGTCCCACATAAATATAGTCAACTGATCTTTGACTAAGAAAGGCAACTCAGTGGAGACAGGATAGTCTTCAACAAATGATACTGGTACAAATGCAAAAAAATGAATCTAGACACAGACTGTATACCTTTCGCAAAAATTTAGTTCCAAACGTATCACAGACATAAGTGTAAAAAGCAGAATCTTAAAACTTCTAGAAGGTAACATCAGAGAAAATTTAGAGACCTTGGGTTTGGCAATGACTTTTAGATACAACACCAAAAGTGCATTCCATTAAAAAAAGTAAGTTGGACTTCAATAATTTAAAACTCTTATGCTCTTTAAAAAACCTTTGTTAAGATATGAAAATACAAAGTGGGAGAAAATACTTGCAAAACACATGATAAAGGACTTATACCCATATATAAAGAACTCTTAAATCTCAACAATAAATTAATAAATGGACAAAAGATCAGAATAGACACCTCACCAAAGAAGTTATACACATGGCAAATAAGTATGAAAAGATGCTAACAACATATATGTCATTAGAGAATGACAAAACAGTAACGAGATACCACTACACATCTATGAGAATGGCTAACATTCAAAACACTAATAGCACCAATGCTGGTGAGAATATAGAACAACAAGAACTCACATTCATTGCTGGTAGGAATTCATACTTTGGAAAACACTTCGGCAGCTTCTTACAAAGGTAAATATAGGCTTATTGTACAGTCCAGCAATTGCACTCCTAGATATTTATCCAAATGAGTTGAAAACTTATTTTACACAAAAGTCTGCACGTTTATAGCAACTTTATTCAGAATTACCAAAAACTGGAAACAACCAAGATATTCTTCAACAGATCAGCAGATAAACTGTGGTACATTCACAGCAATAGAAAGAAATAAGCTATCAAGCCATTAAAAGACATAAAAGCACCTTAAATGCAAATTACTAAATAAAAGAAGCCAATCTGGAAAGGGTACCAAGTAAACTTCCAAGCTATATGATATTCTGGAAAAGGCAAAACTGGATATGGTAAAAGGTCAGTGGTTGCCAGAGGCAGTGAACAAAGGGTCACCGAGGGGGGGCGGTGAATCTATGCTGTGTGATATTGTAATAGTGAATACATGACAGTATGCATTTGTCACAACCCACAGAAGTAAGCAACACAAACAATAAACTAAGGACTTTTGTTATTAATAATGTATCAATATTGGCTCATCAATGATAAGATATGTTCCACACTTAATGCAAAAGGAGAATAATAAGGGAAGCTGGAGGGTGGGGGGGCAGACATGGGGAATTTTTGTACTTTCTGCTCAAATTTTTCTGTAAACATTTTCTAAACTGCTCTAAAAAATAAAGTATTACATTTTATTTTTAAAAATCATAACCAGCTTCAATTGCTTTTAAAAACGCTAAGTTCTTCCTAAGTTGCTGGTCACTATTATAAATTTGAGGAAAAACTAAACGTGCGTATTGAAATTTTTAAGAAGTGATAGAAGAAAAAAACTATCATCTGACTTACCTGTTGCTTCAAAGGTCAGCTTTATGGAATCCCAGGGTGTCTGTTCTTTGGATACAAGTCTGAAATGAGCAGGTTCTCTTGGAGAGACTTCTGGGGCAGGAAGATACCAGTTTTTCCTATTTGGAAAGGTAACTTCAATATTTAGGTTGCTTTATTGATTAACTTCTAGCTATAACTCATGGACACACTCAGAATATAATAAACACATAAACTATGATGGAAATGATGATAAACAATGTCAGTTTCTCTGAAGCTCAGGTTATTGTGCCGTAAAACCTTCCTGAAGAACAAGGATCCCAGGTGATCTGAGTTCCATTACCCATACTATTTCTTTTCCTCCATTCCTTCACTGCCAAACCATTAAATGTCCAAAAAATAAAACAATTAGAAACTTATGCTTAGCTGCTTGCTATCTGTTAGACCAGTTAAGAGGGCTACCCTTTGTAACTATTCAGGTTTCTAGAGGAAAGACATCCTAAATTTGAAAAAGCAGAATTTTGAAGGGGAAAAAAAAAAACTTCCGAGTGCTTTATCTGTAGTAATATCGGAGCTTTTGTAGTGATATTAAAAAAAATAATATAAACAGCACTCAACTTCTACGTTAACCAGTTTAAATAACAGTACCGGCATAGTGATAGGAACTGAGAACACACTACCCCCATCTCAAAGGAGAGAAGTGATGAACCGACCTGATGAGGAAGTGCACGGGCAGATACCAGGGGAAGCCACAGAGCGGGGCGCTCTCCTCACAGTCAGCTCGGACGGTGTCGTTGATTTCAGAAATGTGAGGTGTTATGTGGGACATGCCGGTATAATCAAATGCGTTGATCCACACTCCAGAGTCCCGTTTAACTACGTTTCCATCCAGACCATGAAACGTTCTGGTTATATGCTGAGAAGAACAAGCCTGATGAGGAAAGTACTGTTTGAACTCCTTCACCCACATCCCTGCCCCACATGGACGAAAATGACTAGGTAACAAAACCAAGAGATGAAGAGGCTACCGAGCAATGGGAACCCTCACATACCACTGGGCACCAACACTTCAGGAGACTGCTTAGCATCGCCTAGTAAAGTCAGCATGCACATACCCTGCACGCCAGCAACTCCACTCCTGAGTGTGGACCTCAGAGAAACGTGAACAGGGTACAAGAGTGTTGGTTCCGCACTGTCTATATGAGCAAAAGCTGGATATAACCCAAATGTCCACTGATAGCAGAATAGACAAATAAATTAGGGTGTCATCCTAGAACAGAAGTCTATGCAGCAATGGAGAATAATGAACTACAGTGACAGAGTTCATCCTGGAACACGCTGACATGCTGCTGGGCAATAAGAAGCAAGTCAGCAAAGAGTATTTTTGGTTTGGCTTTATCTACAAGAAGCTCAAAAACAGGCCAGACTTCTATGTTGCTTAGAGATTCATACGTATGTGGCACAGTGATGGTTAACTGCAACCTTTAAGATAGTACTTTGGCGGGTGGTAAGGAGAGGAGCAAAAGACTTGGGATTAAGAAGGGAACACAAGGGTTTTCTAAGGTGCAACTAATGATCTTTTAAATTCAAGATGATTGTTTTACTGTTTCTTACAAATATACTGCTATATTTGTATTTCATACAAATTTTTTTTGAAAACCAACTATTTCAGATTTAAAACACGTGAACACTAAAACTCCTAAAAGGTCTTATTTAAAAGAAACACACACACACACACACACACCCCTTTCCCTTTCAGTCTGTTACATGAAGCTAATTCATGTGCAAAGAAAAACAGAAATCACAGCTCACCACTAGATGACAGACCTGTGCCTAACAGAATGAAAAGGCACCTTGCTCCATCCTGAATAGCTCTATTGACAGCAGAAACCACCCTGAAGAATATCAAATTTGAAAAGAAACAGAACAAAGGGCAGGGGTAAACCAAAGCCCACAGGCCAAATGGCCTGCTACTATTTTTATAAATAAAGCTTTACTGGAACATGCATCTGCTGGTATTGTCCATGGCAGGTTTCACTCTGTAAAAACAGAGTGGCTAAAACAGAGACCAGCTGGCAGAGCCTGAAATATTACCTGGCCCTTTATAGGAAACGTCTGCCAAGTTCTGAAACTGGGGAAGAAGAGAACCCCAAAACAAATCAGGACAGGAGTTTTTTTAAAATAATAAAAGTCTAGTTTCTCCTAATGATTACTGATGTAACATCTGTCACATAAAAATGGATCACTGTTCTACAGGTCTGTAAACAAGGAATAGTTGGCTCTTCCTCGAAATCTCCTCTCTGATATTTAAGTTCAAACATATTATTATTAACTTACTCAAGTCTTTGAATAGTAATCAAGGTTATGACTCTTGGCTTTTCTGTTTGGCCACTCCATTCCCTCTTACAGGAAGACTGAAAATAAGATGACTTAAGTTCTTTTTCCTGTTTTTTACCAGCTCTAAAAAGTTTGCAGAAAAACCTGAAATCTAAGAAAGTTGCAAATCTCATTCTATTAATATCTAAGTTGTTATACTTTCACTATCCCGTATTACCTTGAATATTACCTAAGATCAGTCTTACTAGCATGTTAAAGAATCTGTTTCCTTTTGCCAGTTGATAGGAGTTCATATTTTTACTCAGTCTGCAGACAGCTTTACAATCTGTATTTCTAACAGTTCATTACTTCATGATACATATATGTGCTCATTTTTCTAAATACATTTTTGTAATCTGAACAGTAGTAAAAAACAAACAGGTTTCCTTTCAGTCCCTTGGGAGAAGGGTTTCTAGCTAATCAGAATGCCTCTTGATGGTCAATCTTTTCCTCAATGCCTTACACAAAATAGTCAAGGTACAATTAACAGGTCAACAGTAGAAAAGTCACTTATGTGTTTTGAGCTTTACTGTTGACCAGTGAAACTCAAAATACTATAAACCTTTCCTGTCCAGAATCTCAAATAGGTCACACAAAATCACTCTTACCTGAAGAAACACTCTCTTTGGCTTTGGACTGGCAGGGTTGGAGCTGTACGGGAAAAAAGTTCCACTGCAAACAAGGAGGAATGTAACTGTACATACCAAAGTTAAACTTAGCATTGTTCTTTTTGTGCTTTTGGCAAGGTAGATGAAGTTAATCTAAAAACACAAAAACAGAAAAATTAACCACTGGCAGGAAAAGTGGTTTTAGTGACTTTCTAACAGGCATTGTAGCAGATAATGAAGGACATGTATCAGCATGTGCTAACACACTCCAGCTTCCGGTACACCGAGCACTCCTTATAAGGGATTTCCATCACAAGTCGAGTCTAAATAAATGAGAGATGCCAGCACCATGGAGACAGTACGCAGACTTCTTGACAGGCAGCAAGGCAGTGAGGGGGAACAGGGAAACTGAGACAGGGGCTCTGCTCAGTCAAGAGATTACAGCATGGTCATCTGTCAGTCAAACAGTGGCCGTATTTTATTTCTATCAATACTCTGCAGCCAACACTATAGCAGACAACTGTTTAACTATATTAACAACTATTTAACTGTATTAACTATTTAACTGTTTAAAGACATCATGACATGATTTTATTAAAGAAGTAACCTTTTATGCAAGTAAGCAGGCCTATTTCAAAACAAAACTCAAGTTCTATTTGTAATGCTTTCATAACATGCCTAGATTCACCTAAATGAGCATTTAGATGCACCTTCAAGACTGCCCTGCATGTAAAGAAAAACTGCTATAAAAGTAGTTCTGCACCTGAAGCTTACACAGTATCATAAATCAACTTTTATCATAAATCAACTTTTAGTTCAATTGCAAAAAAAACAAAACTCTGAAAACTGAAACAAACTGGGAAAGTAAAAGTCATTCTGCTCTTTTCACTGCCAAGTTAACCAAAGCCAACACAAAACAGCAGATCTGAACTTGGGCAGGAAAACAAGTGGCTCAGTCTCAAGATGGGCATCCTGAAAGTCCTAAATATACTTATATTAGTTTCTTAATTGTAATGAAATCACTGAATTAAAGTTTTGGAGGACACACAACTCATAGAATATGTCCACAGATCCCCTAGGGGTTCTGAAGGAGCCACTCCAAGAAACAATGACCTAATCCCTGCTTCCCTTATCAGCTACCCTCCCAGGGTCAATAAGAAGAAAAGTGAAGAACATAAAGGTGAAAATGTGTTTTTGAGATGAAAATGAAAAATGATTCATTCCAAGTATTCAACTATATGAAACTAATAAAAAGATTTTATATCTACAGTGTAACATATGCCATCCAGAGTAATCTCCAGCAAAGGAGTACTGGCCTTATATTTTCACACTGGAGCCAGAAAGGAGAAAAAGTACCCAAGGATTTAGGGTAGTGAGTTAGCAAAACACAATTTGTTACCCTGTCTGTCCCTCTTCCTCCTAAGAGTCACAATATTTAAAATGTGGCTCCTTAGAACAGTATCAGTATCAAATATCCTGCCACGTAATGAGTTTCGCCTCCAGTGGAAGGCTGGTTAGGTTTCGGTACAGAGTTGTGTGGGTCCAGATAAAACCTCCCTGTGGTTCCTGCCATTCTCCACCCTGCTGCTACCTAGAGCTGTCCTACAGCTTCCGGTTAGGCTACAGTTCCCACATCCACATTCTCTCTTCTCCATGTTATGAGGCTCATCTTTTCTGCCTCTTGTGTCCACCTTCTGGAAGAGGTTTGGTAATGGTGATAAATGAAAAGGTGATCACAGAGGGAGAGAAGGAAGAAGAGAATGGCCTAAATAACAATGTATCTGGATCCCACTGTCTTAAATGTCACTATCTTTTGTCTTAAATATTATATCTGATACCACTCTAGGTTCCAAAATGGGTGTGAATTAAAATGAAGAGAAGCATGAGAAGGGACTATGCAATGTCCAGTGTGTACTGGCTTTTTCTGTTTCTCTCTGACAGTTTCCTCCTGGTCCCACTCCTATCAGTAGTCTTATGTAATCAATATAACCACGACGACCCCAGCACAAGATAACTCCCAGAAACCTGTTAACCAGTCATTTGACAGCAATTTAATTGCTTCCTAGCAAATTATATTTAATAAATCCCCACAGACTAAGAGAAAAGCTCTCAGAAGTATGCATGTGGTTCAGTTCTCCACTACCCAAGAAGAAAAGGCTCACTCTATTAAAAAGCCACTATCTATAACACAGGTACACACAAATAAGAAGAGTGAAGAGAATGGTAACCCACAGCATCAAAGAGCAGCAGAGTTATCTCACAGTATGATGACAATCAAATTCGAGCTTAAAATACTCGAAGAGGCACTTTCCAAAAGCTTTCCAAATAAAATATAATTTAGAAGATAATAACTTTAATCTAGTTGCTTATGGTTTCAAAGATGTCCATGCTTTGGAGTCACTCCCAGTTTTCAGGGTTCTTTTTGTCCCCGGTTCATACTGAACTGATCTGAAATGCCCCACATTTTGATCATCTTTTATGAGTATTAAGAGCCTTCATTCATGGACGATGATTTAAATACATTTGGGGGTTGGAGGATCCAGTTCATAACTTCGCTTACTCTAGATTAAACCTAATCTCCATGTGATGACACTACAAACTCCTTTAATTCTCACAACAGCCAACCTATCAAGAAACACAGAGGATTTAAAGGCTTAACATTAAAACCAAGAGAAGTAAGCCTTGAAGAGGACAAAGAGCACTTCAGAATTTTCCATCCATCCCTGCAAATACCAGTAAAGACTTAACCATGGTATTAATAGTTAAACAGTTCTGTGTATAAGAATTACTCTACAGGGCTGCAGACACAGTCACATACACAGCTATTTATTGGTTATTTTGGAGAAGGAAATGGCAACCCACTCCAGTATTCTTCCCTGGAAAATCCCATGGGTAGCAGAACCTGGCTGGCTACAGGCCATGGGCTCACAAAGAGTCAGACACGACTTAGTGACTAAACAAGGACAAACTCTATTGAAGGGCCTTCCATGGATAGTGCTGACCATATCTCTGGTTCCTAGATCTTAGTCTTCACATGAGATGCCTTTTACTGTATCTGTGTGAAAAGCTCATTATTATCTCCATGGAGGAAAGAATTCTAAGAGTCCTAACTACTTTTTCTGTTTTGTCTGCTAGCCTCAAGTCTCAGAGTATAACTACAGGTATTCAAGCAAGACAGGTATGTCTTACTCTTAGGAACTGTAATGAAAAGAACCACAGAACAGGGGAGTGCTGACACCATGCTAAGGGCAGAGCTCCGCCTGCAGCTTGCTCCAGCAGGGTGGGTGTTATCCACTCTGCACCATTTCTTCCCCCCTCTCCCCTCTGGAGGGTCCCTGGGAAGAGAAGCAGGCATGGCAGAGGCAGGACTCTCTCTCCGAGGCCGGAACACTGACAGAGCAAAATGACAAGGCCGGTGACACGTCCTCATTACTCGGTAAATGAAGGCATGTTTGGGTGCTGTAAGCGTGTCACTTAAGGACACAGACTCCACCAAGGACCTTGGTGGTGCCAGCAGTGAGGCAGGTGAGTGACGGTGGAAAAGTCCTCATCAGAATCAGTCTCCCTTCACTAGCTCTAACAGCAACAGTGAGACTACCACGTATTTATTAACACTTGCCTCTAGTCAGTAAGTTCAAAACACATTCTAAAAATTCACCACCAAACAATCTACCATTTCTCACTTGATATTCATTCCACACATTCACATTCAGGTGGTTTGAAAGCTATCTGAAAAGAAGTATCATCAGAGGATTTGGGAGCATGAGAAGGCAAAAATAACAACAAAACCCCCCTTCTACGTTTTCTGACCACACCGAACCTACAATATGCACCATTTCTTTTGCTTAAGAGTAGAAAGTAAGTGTTGGCCACTCGGTCGTGTCCGACTCTGCAACCCCATGGGACTGCAGACCACCAGGCTCTTCTGTCAATGGAATCCTCCAGCCAAGACTACTGGAGTGGGTTGCCATTTCCTTCTCCAGGGGGATCTTCCCGACTCAGGGGTTGAACCCAGATCTCTTGCATTTCAGCGGATTCTTTACAGTCTGAGAAACCAGGGAAGCTCTTCAATGCTATTTCATAAGATATAGCACGGTTAAACTCATCATATATTTATATATAAAATGAAGAAGGAAATTAAAAAAAAAAAAAAACTTTTTCCTTACAAAATAGGATGAGAGAATCATGGTACAACCAGCCAAAATAGAGGCCAGCACAACGTCAGGTGGAATTTCCGAACCACTCCTGCCAAGGATAGGGGTAAACATCTCAAATACGGCCCAGATGAGGTACAGTGCATACAGATATGGAATAAACATCCCCAAAAGGTAAAAGGCAATAAATTTTCCTCCAGCACCTAGAGAAAAAGAGAAAGAAAACATACATCTCTGAAATTCTCCAGTGAGATAATAGCTTTTTATAGCAACAGTGTATCTTTACACCTAACAAAAATTAGGTTAGCAGTGACTTGGCCTTTTGGTATATGTTATAAAGAGAGATAAAACACTTTGAGAGGGTAAAATACGAATTAAGAAAACAAAAAATGTAATATATTACCATGTGTTCATTTATGTGAGAATGATGGATATAAGATAAACATCTGTGTGATCTTAAAACAGCAATAATTTTGAAAGCCTACCCAAGAAAATCAAATAAGGAGACAAGTCTCTGGAAGCCTTAATGTATTTTAAGGCATTTCCCATTTGTATCGCAATCAAAAATACCCTACCATGCTGCTTCAAGTCCTTTTGCACGCAAAGCTTTGTGAGCAGCGGGAATGCCACCCAGACAGCGCTAATAAATGCAGAGCAGAGCCCCCGGTAAGTGAGAGCTGTAAGGAACCCACAGTGCACAAACAACGAGACATCAAAAAATACTTCTCCCAGATACTGGCCACTGGCATTCTGAAAGAAAGAAAATACAGACAACTCATCAAGATCTTTTATTGCAGTATAATTTCCACTGCTCAGAAAAGCTACATTTTGTCTTGAGCAGGGTCTATCCTTTAGACTATGAAGTAAACACTGACAAAGCTACCTCCTCTCATGAAGCAATAAGTTCAAACTGCTGCACCGGAAAGGAGAATTTAACAAGTTGGGGTAAAAACATCATTACTCATATATAAGCTTTCCCTCCACTGGGCTGAGAGACCTTTGGAAATGTTCTAAAGCAAAAGAAAGCACTTCCCTTAAAACATTCACTTCTGTAAGCTCTTTTAACATGAAATTTTCAAAGAATGTCAAGCAAACCAGAGAAACGACCCATATGAAGAACAGTATAAGCCGTTGCAGCGCCACCAACAGCACGCCTCAAGAACTGCAGGACCCTTAGAGCACAGGGCCATGGGGGGTTTGATCAACACTTTGAGCTTTGAAGTCTGAAAGTCTGAGGATTCCTGTGCAGCACCTTGAGTTCTTCAGGAGAAAGTTGCCTTTGAACTTTATACATCTTAACTTCTACACCGGTGATTCTAATAGTGTAAACATGAAAGTTGTAATTTCGGTGCACAAACACCAAAACAGAAATACGTATGTTTAAGCTTTTCTCTCTCCTCTGCCTTCTCATTTCTATACAGTCCAGGGCATGTCTGTTAAAAGAGCCCCTACTTCAAAAGTGCAAAAGAGTTTCAGTCACACGTGATTCAAAACAAACTAAAGGTCACTTGGCAAACCTCCTTGGACAATGAAAGATAGGCTATTGTCGGTAAAATATTATATGTTCAACACTATAATCAAGAGTCATGGTCTCTAAAAAGAATAAAATAGTTCTCAGGATTCAATTTGAAGCAGAATTCCACTCAGATATTTAAAAACAAAGACATCAACAATGAAGACTGTAATAACTGAAGATGTTTTTACACTGTCCCCACTTCGTACCAAGTTCAAACATCCCTCAAATCTAGTTCCCTTCTCCCCACCTCTATCACCCTTTCCCCCTTCCAGTCCATTGGTAAAGTATACTGTTACCAGTGTGTTCCTGCTGAGTCACAAATCTTCTCATTCAATATCCTGCTCAGAAAGTTTAAACTGTGGCCCCAGTGATTTTTAGGCTTATGCTCTATCAACCTTATCTTCACCACACTGAACTTTTTATTGCCTGTGACCCAAACACATCTTGTATATTCTGACCTTTGCCCATCAACCAGTTCCCTGGTACACTTCTACTCAGGCCACAAAAAACGCAGTTCAAATGTCACCACCCCCTTCATGAAGCCTTCCTGACTTCACAAGCAAAATTCATCTCTCCTGGCCCTACAGTCCTACAGCACTGTGAAACTATCACTCTATTTCACTTCATCCCAGTACACTGAAATCACTGTGGTTTCCCCATCATTTCATCCCCCAACTGAGACTGTGACCTTCTCAAAGAAAAGACTATGTCCCCAATCTCTGTACCAGGCCCGAGGATGGGAACACACTGGGTACTCAAAGACAGTGTCAGACAAAAATGAAAATATTACTCTTTCTACTGTGCCTTCAGCCCAAAGTTTCATAATTGGACAACTGAAATTAGACAGAATTTTACTAAGCATGTCTGTCTTACCCTCTACTGTACCCCAATGCCATATCAACAACAGTCAGCCATACTCTGGTTACATCCCACTGCAGCAGGAATAAATACCTGAAATTGAGCCGCATCATGTAATTCTTTTGGAAACTGAAGTCATGAAGATATAAGTATTGGCTCAACCATAAACAGATGGCTAACCTCAGTATATCTCTTCAGTAGGGCCTGCCACACAGAAAGGCTCCTTACACCATATCCCAACATGAACTGAACTGAGACCAAGCTTCAGTTCCTGAAGACATGCTAGTCAAAGTATGCTGTTTATAATCTTTCATGTCTCCAGTCTAATCCCCAGCAGGACAAACTGAAATAAACAGGTGTGTACATGCCATACTGAAAATGACGGAAGAAAGAAAGGTTTTCCCTTTTATTATCTTAGAAAACCAGAACATGAGAGTGGCTTGCTCTCTAATTATTCAGTTTTTAGTCCTGCTCTCTCACAAACCTAATACTTAACTTTGTTTTTACCAAACAAATGTATACAGTTGAAACCATGACAATACGGCTATTTCTCTACGACAGCATATGTCATTTTGGAACTCTATCTCCCTTCCCTTTCTCTCTTCAGCAATGTGTCATTAACCCCCAGACCACCTACCATGCTGACAGAATCTGTATCAACAACATACAGGTTAAAAGAAAAAGTAAAGGAGACTGAACATGTTCAGTGCAGCGTTAGATACAGTGCTCATCCAGGCAGAAAATAGTGCATCAATTCTGTGCCAGAGACTGCCTAAGCACGGGGGACACTGAACCTCATCCTCCCTGCCCTCAAGGAGCTGACAGTCCAGTGGAGAACAGAGCTGTTCAGATAAAAACAGCTGGTGGCCCCAGGGAAGGTTGGCAGATTAAACATCATGGTTACAAAAACTGCCGCTGCCAGCAGAAGAAGACTACGCTAACACACCCCAAACACTGTTTGCCAGCCATATAAACTCATTTATTTAAAGTCTGCAACCCTCAGAATAAGAAGTTTTCCAGAAAGTCAACATGGTTCTGGGAGTCACTTTTCCATAACCATGCCAAACAATTTTTGGTGTCACAAAAGGTCAAACATAAGGAACCCCACCTGAGTTTGTCTTCAATTCTGGAAGGTGGCAGAAAGAAATCAATAAAAAAGCCCAAAACTTACCACATAATAAAATCTTTTTGCAAGGGTATGTATGAATATTATTTTGGCTACAGCTGCAGTTCCATACAGACAAACGGAGACATAGAAGTGGTTATACCATGAGAGGGACTGTCCAATAAGGGAGACGAATACTGCTATAATGAGAACTGTAACCAAGCTGGTAAACCAGCTTATCAGAGTGATGCCAAGTCCACAGAAGAAGTCCTTTGTGTAGGTAGCAGCTGTCGGAGAGAAAACAAGAGTAGTGACCACTGTCTTTATCAGTTTCACAAGCAGTCAGTAAAATTAAAGGAGCAAACATTAAAACAAAATTTACCACTATAATTGAAAATATTAAAATTTCCTAGGGGTAAGCTTTGTTAAACATTACAACAAGGAAGGTATCAGTGAATACAATTCAAGTATGAACATCTGCTGAGAGTCTGTGGGTACAAAAGACCCAAAGAGGTAAGTCTTCAGGAAAAGTTCAGATATATTCCTGACTGGGAAAGGGAGTCATCTTGGGTTTTATCACCTCTGGAATGCTTTGTGTATTGAAATAACAGCAAAAATGGAATGCAATGTTACATATAAAATCTTACCAAAAGAAACTAACACAGGAAGAGAAGCAGCATGAGAAAATAACCAGTGATTAAGGAATATTTAAATCACTGCTAAATATCTGACCAGCTAACAGCACACACTAACTTAAAGACTATAAAATAGTTCAAGCAGAAGCAGACCAATTTAACCACAAGCAGTTCATTCATACTCCAGAACAGGGTGCTACTGGTCTGCAATGTGGACATTTTTTAAGGGGACTCTTCACTAAAAGTCAATACTTACAAACCATTTTCTACAAGCTTTTGAAGTACTTCCATGAAGTGCATAAGTACATAAAAACTGCATGCCTCACCAAGACTAAAAGTATAATGAGCATATCAACCTGATACTCATTTAGAAATTTCTTCAGTTCAGTTGCTCAGTTGTATCCAACTCTTTGCGACCCCATGGACTGCAACATGCCAGACTTCCCTGTCCATCACCAACTCCCAGAGCTTGCTCAAACTCATGTCCACCAAGTCGGTAATGCCATCCAACCACCTGATGGATGTCGTTCCCTTCTCCTCCTGCCTTCAGTCTTCCAAAGCATCAGGGCCTTTTCCAGTGAGTCAGTTCTTTGCATCAGGTGGTCAAAATATTGAAGTTTCAGCTTCAACATCAGTCCTTCCAGTGAATATTCAGGACTCATTTCCTTTAGGATTGACTAGTTTGATCTTGCACAGTCCAAGGGACTCAGCAGAAGAATCTTCTCCAACACCATAGTTCAAAAGCATCAGTTCTTCGCTGCTCAGCTTTCTTTATGGTCCAACTCTCACATCCATACAAGACTACTGGAAAAACCAGAGCTTTGACTAGATGGACCTTTGTCAGCAAAGTAATGTCTCTGCTTTTTAATATGATGTCTAGCTTTGTCATAGCTTTCTTCCAGGGAGCAGGCATCTTTTAATTGCACAGCTGCAGTCACCACCTGAGTGATTTTGGAGCCCAAGAAAATAAAGTCTGTCACTGATCCATCGTTTCCCCATCTATTTGCCATGAATGATGGGACCAAATGCCAGGATCTTGGTTCTTTGAATGCTGAGTTTTAAGCCAGCTTTTTCACTCTCCTCTTTCACTTTCATCAAGAGGCTCTTTAGTTCCTCTTCGCTTTCTGCCATAAAGGTGGTGTCATCTGCATATGTGAGGTTATTGATATTTCTCCCAGAAATCTTGATTTCAGCTTGTGCTTCATCCAGCCTAGCATTTCGCATGATATACTCTTCATATAAGTTAAATAATCAGGGTGACAATATACAGCCTTGACATACTCCTTTCCCAACTTAGAACCACTCTGTTGTTCCATGTCTGGTTCTAACTGTTGCTTCTTGATGTGCATACAGATTTCTCAGGAGGCAGCTCAGGTTGGCAGAGGCAGTCCCATCTCCTGAAGGATTTTTCCACAATCTGTTGTGATCCACACAGTCAAAGGCTTTGGTGTAGTCAATAAAGCAGAAGTAGATGTTTTTCTGGAACTCTCTTGCTTTTTCTATCCAACAGATACTGGCAATTTGATCTCTGGTTCCTCTGCCTTTTTTAAATGCAGCCTGAACATCTGGAAGTTCTCAGTTCATATACTGTTGAAGTCTCACTTGGAGAATTCTGAGCATTACTTTGCTAGCGTGTGAGATGAGTGCAATTGTGCAGTAGTTTGAACAGTCTTTAGCATTGCCTTTCTTTGGGATTAGAATGAAAACTGACCTTTTCCAGTCCTGTGGCCATTGCTGCGTTTTCCAAATTTCCTGGCATACTGAGTGCAGCACTTTCACAGCATCATCTTTTAGGATCTGAAATGGCTCAACTGGAATTCCATCACCTCCATTAGCTTTGTTCGTAGTTATGCTTCCTAAAGCCGACTTGACTTCAATTCCAGGATATCTGGCTCTAGGTGAGTGATCACACCATCGTGGTTATCTAGGTCATTAAGATCTTTTTTGTATAATTCTTCTGCGTATTCTTGCCACCTCTTCTTAATATTTTCTGCTTCTGTTAGGTCCATACCATTTCTGTCCTTTATGTAAGAAATTTCTTACAACAGTGTAAATCAAATGGTATTTTTCTTAAGATTTGTAACTTCTTGGAAAGATACAAGAAAAGTGCCAAAAAACTTTAGGTAAATTCTATACCCATCCAGTATTGTAGTTTTATACTTACTTTTATATTTGGGATGCAGTAATTTCCTTCCCAGGTATAAAACAACAGCCATTACCACCATATAGTTAATTATTGAGCCAACACGAGATGGGTAGGCGATGACAAACAGGCCAAGCACATCAAAGAAGACCATGTTTCCATGTTGATACTTAGAAGAAGAAGCCAACATATCAGATGTAGCTAGATATTTAAGAACTGCTAAAATGTTGTCACCTATTAGTAAAAAGAAATGAAAGGTAACAAAGTTGAAACAACCATCCACTGTTGGAGTCAAGGAGTACCTAGAAAGACTACGAACAAAAACAGCTTTCTACCATCCTACTGTTCTCTCCAATTTTTCTTGCTAAATATCTCTTATAAGGTCCATGCCCTCTATGCTGTTTCTTCTCTGCTTTGAAGCTCAGTGACCTGGTCTTCATCCTTTCTCTTCTATTTATTATAGCTACTCCCTGATCAACTGCACCCTTGCTGGTGACAAACCTAACAGCTATTTCTCAGTCTCTATTCATTTAACATATACTTAATGTAGTGGACACTGCTCTGACATAGAAATTCAGTGGGGAACCAAGAACCTCAAGAAGCTCACAGACACCAAACAAGTTATTACACACGTATTAAGAATTAATAAGGACTTCCCTGATGGCCCAGTGGTTAAGAATCTACCTTGCAATGCAGGGCATGCAGGTTCAACCCCTGTTCAGGGAACTAAGGTCGCACATGCCATGGGGCAACTAAGTCCTCGTGCCACAACTACTCTCCTGAGCCCACGCTCTGGAGCCTGCGCCCACAACTGGGGCAGCCTGCATGCCCCAGTCAAAGACCCCTGTGTGCCACAACGGAGAGCCAATGCAGCCGAATAAATAAATATTAAAAAAAAAAAGGAACATCAATAATATCTGAATTAAAAAAAGAAATAGTATGGAGAAAGTGCCCTAAGAACATATCAGGGAGACTAGTGGAGTTGGAGAAATCAAGGAAGCACCTGAGGAAGTGAATTTCTAGCTAAAGGATGGATAGGAGCCATGACGGGGGAGAGATTTTGTTTAGAGACCTATGTAGATAAAGGCCCCGAGGAGGGGAAAAGTGTCCAGAATAACGAATGAGAGTCTTTTGCAATGAAGCTGAGAGCGGCCGAGTCACTATGAGGCGGAAGCTGGCACCTCAGAGGCCGTCGTAAGTATCTGTTACATCCATCAGTGACTGAGTTTAAACTACAGTGAAGAATTATAAGAAGCTCTGCATGGTTGGCATATCTTCCTGATGCTCATTCCATCCTGGACTTTCTCTTCTTTTCACTGAAGACACCACACTGTCTCACTGTGGGATTTCTTTCATTGGCTCTCCTGCCGCCTTCAAATGTGTCTTCCCCTAAGCTTCGGTTTGTTTCACTCTTCCAAAAACCATTTCCATTTTCCAGACTTCTGTGGTTTTGACTATGCCTTTAATTTCCAAACCCAGGTACCCAGTTCTGCCATGGTCTCTAATGGCGTATCTACATTTTCATCTTGTCAGTTCACAGACATCCTCTGTCTCGTGTCTGACAGAGTTCACAGCCTCTTTCCCCTCCTCACTACTGCTCTGAGCAAAAGCCACCTTCCCATGTCCAGTTATGGTCAGTGGTGTCATCTCTCCCCAGCCAGCCAGGCTTTACCCTCTGAGGTCTTCTTTGCTGTCATTCATCTGATTCATCCCTGCTATGTAACCTATCAAGTCTTGCTGAGTTTTCATTCAAAATGTACCTAGTTTTCCACCCTTGCTTTCATGTATATCTTTTGCCAGCACTACAGTCTAGGTCCTCCATATTCCACACTAAAATCACTGTTGGCACAGCCCTGACTCTTGGCTCTGTCCCCTTCTCTCCCATACACTCCATACTGCATCACCAGACTGACAGCATTTTAAACCATCATTCATTCACATATGCAGGCCTTTAATGACTTCTTATTCCTACAGCATCCATTTGCTGACTCTTAAAGCCATCTACAGCTTTCTCTACCTCCATACACCTCTGCCTCATTTCCCTCTATGTCTGAAAAATGCAGCCTCCATTCACACTGGAGTCTAACCGTCCTCGCCACAAACGATCCCTACTCATGCAGAGCTCTTACTAGAACAGGCTCTTTCCCACTGCCAAATCCTAACTCTTTGCAAGGCTCAGCCTCAGACTCACCTCCCCTGACTACTACTGATGTCTCTGGAAAACATTTTAACTCCTCTGTCCTATATAACTGGCTCCCCTGTCCTCACCACCCAACCTGGGATCAATGTAACTTTTCCATACCTGGGCAAGTTGCCCAAACATGTGCTTGTGCCACCTCCAGTGTACAGCTTCCGTTTTGGCTACACTCTCAGTACTCAGCAGTATGTGCATAACCCTAGGTCAGCTCCCTTTCAGATTCCTCATAATGAACAGTCTTACGTTCTTAACTGCTAAACTAGACTTCGAGGCTAAAATTCAAAGCCTCATCCAACTCCAAAACCCCACTTCATTCACACCATACACTGCCTCCCTAATGCACAGGACACAGAGTCATAGGCTCACAGGTCATCCATAATATCCCATCTTAATATCAAAAGTCTAAATGAGAATACCAACCTGCTCTCTGAATGGAATCTGTTAGAATTCTGTCCGCTGTATCATACTTGGTGTGATAAATGTATCCATTCTCAATAAAAGCTAAGTCTATTCCTAAGACATACAGGAAAAAAAAACAAAAGTCATTTTACTTTAAAGATCTACCTCAATTTAAGGCCTCTTTGTTTAATGTATTAAATTCCTAAAAGACATCAGAGCAGTACCATGACTGCTTTGTCACATTCTTGAAGGAATGATGAAATTCTCACAGAACTATAGCTGTGATACATAATTCCATATATAATGACTGGGGCATTACAAGTCACACAGTAAGGAGAAGGAATACTGGCATGGGAGGCCAGCAAAACTTTGCCATCTACATCCTTCCCAGGCCAGAGCCAAACTTTCACGTTAAACAAGCTGTGCAAGTCCCCAGGGCAGCTGGCAAAGCAAGGTAACGATGAAAAAGACCCCGAAGGGTCTGTGACCATCTTTTGGGAATGAAGCGCTCAACAGTTCTCCCCTGTTCTTCTGTCACACTGTGGGCCAAGATGACATGTGCTAGAAAAAGGAAGCATTTAAAGTAAGTTGGGGAAAAAAATAATAAAGTAAACTGGAGTTTAAAAGAAAAGGAGATGACCAGGAGCTCTCTTTCAGGGAGTCAGAATATACAGTTCTCACATAAAAATCTGCTCTCAGAAAACGCTGCTTACTCACAAACTTCCAAAAAGACTTGTTTTTGATTAATCATTGTCACAGAAAAGTCCATAGCAATTGACAATACCCGGAATGTTCCCAAAATCCCTGTAGATCCGGAAGTCAGTATCTGAAGGAATGATTCCACTCTGGAAAACCTCCTGAGCCACCACTGAAGCAAATGGGTGTTTAGCTGCTGAGACATAAGCTTGGACCAGCCAAGGATTTTCAGGACCTGAAATGAAACATGACAACAATATGAGGCTAATCTGGATTTTTTTTTTAACATACATAAAATAGTTACTATGGTGATTTGGGGAGACAGGTCAAGAGTTTTGTTTTTTTAATCCTCTTTTCTGTATGTTTCAACATTTCTTTGATAAATGTGTATGATTCTTTTAAATGAAAAATAACCTTGTGGAAAACAAAATTTCTTTTAATAGTAACAGCACTATAAAAAGTTTAAGTTTAAAAATGAAAAACCACTCACAAGCCCATCATCCAAAGATAACTATTATCATTTTTATGTCTTCGACTTATGTATGACTTATAAATGTATGTGTGTACACGGATGTACTGATAGGGTATGTATAATCTTGACATTTCTCTTTCACTTAACATTGCACTAAACACACTCCTATGTTGCCAGTTATTACAATGATTATTTTAGATATTGCAATGACCATGGTCCAGTGGTTAAGAATCCACCTTTCAATGCAGGAGACGCAGGTTCAATTCCTGGTCAAGGAACTGAGCTCCCACGTGCTGCAGGGCATCTAAGCCCGCACACGACAGCTAGAGAGCCTGCACGCTGCAGTGAAAAGATGCTGCCTGCCACAACGAAGACCCGACGCAGCCAGATAATTTTTAAATGCTCATTTTAATAACTGCATAATTACTGAATATATCATAAAGTTCCTTATTATTACATATAACTTATCATTATTAATAATTCCACATTAACATCTCCATGCATATACAGTTTTCAAATATAGGAGTTTTTTCTTTTGGATAGCAAGATAAATTATATTACTATCCCCAATTATTCACTCCTCCCTCTCACATAACTTACAATGCCTCCTGTGGAAGCAGCACATACATGAATTCCTTCAGCCAACTGACTGTGAATGGGAGAGACATGGACCCTGAAGAGCCATCACATGGTCCACCTCTCCCATTAACTTTGGCCCTGAGATCGCTATGTCCCTGATGGGGGCTTCTTCAGCCTGGATCCCAGGATGAATAAGACGCATGGAACATAATAACCAGGGGATGTAGCTGCAGTTACCCAAGAACCAGAATGTAACATGAGCAACAAATAAACCTTTGCTGCTGTAATCCACTGAGATTCAGGGGTTGTATATTACAACTAAATTTAGCAAAAAGTTATCTGATGTTGACTGATCAAGTAACTCCCTTTCAGAGAATCCAAGAATATTAACATTTTTATAACTTTATAACCAGATAATCAATTTGCTTTCCTACAGAAAAAAAAAAAACAAAAAACCATAAATGGTGGAGGATAGAAGGGGTGAAAAAACACTACAGAATCAGATATCTAGGTGACCCAGATACTGGAGTTACCAGGCATGAATTTTAAAATAAATATTATTAATTATTCATAAACACAGATGATAGCAACGGTATCACTAGACAAGTACAAACTATTAACAAAGAGTGTGTCAAATAGAAACCCTAGAACTGAAAACAATAACTGCTGTTAAGAATTTTAATACATATACAGCTTAATACAAAGGTAAAAACAGCAGAAGAAAAAAATGACAGATCCAGAGAATTAAAGCACAAAAGGAAATAGGAATAGAAAATTCAAAAATGCTTATAAGACATATGGGACCAAAGTCTGTTCTGTACATCTGTGTCTCTTTTTCTGTTTTGCATATAGGGTTATCGTTACCATCTTTTTAAATTCCATATATATGTGTTAGTATACTGTATTGGTCTTTATCTTTCTGACTTACTTCACTCTGTATGATGGGCTCCAGTTTCATCCATCTCATTAGAACTTATTCAAATGAATTCTTTTTAATGGCTGAGTAATATTCCATTGTGTATATGTACCATAGCTTCCTCTATGGGAGAAGGCGAGGGTGGGATGTTCTGAGAGAATAGCATTGAACAAGTATACTATCAAGGGTGAAACAGATCGCCAGCCCAGGTTGGATGCATGAGACAAGTGCTCAGGGCTGGTGCACTGGGAAGACCCAGAGGGATCGGATGGGGAGGGAGGTGGGAGGGGGGATCAGGATGGGGAACACATGTAAATCCATGGCTGATTCATGTCAATGTATGGCAAAAACCACTACAATACTGTAAAGTAATTAGCCTCCAACTAATAAAAATAAATGGAAAAAAAAAAAAAAGACATATGGGATAGAGTGAAAAGGTCTAACATGAGTAACTGGAATCCCAGAGGAAGGGGAGAATGGGAATTGAAGCAACATTTAAAAGAAGTTAAGGCCAATAATTTCTGAAAACTTACAGGAAACACCAAGCTATGAATTCAAAAGGCCCTAGAAAGTCCAAACAAGATAAACAAAAGAAAAACATACTCAGCATCAGGTCTTTGCTTTTGAATTCCATTTTCCACTAAAAGAACCAGTTCTCCCTAGAGTTATGCCGAATTCCAAAACTGAGGCTAGGAAAATACTCAAAAGTGGGAACATCTTGTGCCAGAAACGAAGTGCTCAAACACGTCAGAGACATGTCAAAAGGACAGGCACCAGCTGAAGGGCTGCCATTGGCCTGAACTGGATCAAATCATACATTAAAATGGTTACAACAGAATATAAAATCCATAAAATAAAACACATGAAAAACACTGAAATAAACACACACACATAAGGGAGAAGCCTTACAAGGAGCTGAGAAGAAGAGAAGTGAAAGGCAAAGAAAAGGAAAGATATACGAACTGAATGCAGAGTTCCAGAGAATAGCAAGGAGAAATAAGAAAGCCGCCTTAAGTGAACAGTGCAAAGAAATAGAGGAAAACAACAGAATGGGAAAGACTACAGATCCCATCAAGAAAACTGGAGATGCCAAGGGAACATTTCATGTAAAGATGGGCATGATAAAGGACAGAAATGGCAAGGACCTAACAGAAGCAGAGGACATGGGAAGAGTAAACAGAAGAACTACCTAAAAAGTCTTAATGACACAGATAAACACAATGGTATGGTTACTCACCTAAAGCTGGACATCCTGAAGTATGAAGTCAAGTGGGCCTTAGAAAGCATTACTACATATAAAGCTACTGGAGGTAGCGGAATTCCAACTGAGCTAAATAAAATCCTAAAAGATGATGCTGTTAAAGTGCTGCACTCAACAAGTTAGCAAATTTGGAAAACTCGGCAGTGGCCACAGGACTGGAAAAGGTCAGTTTTCATTCCAATTCCAAGAAGAGCAATGCCAAAAAATGTTCAAACTACCACACAGTTGCACTCATTTCATATGCTAGCAAAGTAATGCTCAAAATCCTTCAAGCTGGGTTTCAACAGTACATGAACTGAGAACTTCTAGATGTACAAGCTGGATTTAGAAAAGGCAGAGGAACCAGAGATCAAATTGCCAGTATCTGTTGGATAGAAAAAGCAAGAGAGTTCCAGAAAAACATCTACTTCTGCTTTATTGACTACACCAAAGCCTTTGACTGTGTGGATCACAACAGATTGTGGAAAAATCCTTCAGGAGATGGGACTGCCTCTGCCAACCTGAGCTGCCTCCTGAGAAATCTGTATGCACATCAAGAAGCAACAGTTAGAACCAGACATGGAACAACAGAGTGGTTCTAAGTTGGGAAAGGAGTATGTCAAGGCTGTATATTGTCACCCTGATTATTTAACTTATATGAAGAGTATATCATGCGAAATGCTNAGATCAGTCCTGGGTGTTCACTGGAAGGACTGATGTTGAAGCTGAAACTCCAATACTTTGGCCACCTGATGCGAAGAGATGACTCATTTGAAGAGACCCTGATGCTGGGAAAGATTGAGGGCAGGAGAAGGGGACGACAAAGGATAAGATGGTTGGATGGCATCACTGACTCAATGGACATGGGTTTGGGTGGACTCCGGGAGTTGGTGATGGACAGGGAGGCCTGGCGTGCTGCAGTTCATGGGGTCGCAGTCGGACACGACTGAGCGACTGAACTGAACTGAACCACTCTAATGGCAGAAAGCAAAGAGAAACTAAAGAGCCTCTTAAATAGTATGAAAAAGAAGAGTGGAAAAAGCCGGCTTCAAACAAAACATCAAACAATGAAGATCATGGCATCTGGTCCTGTCACTTCATGGCAAATAGATGGGGGACAAAGTAAAAACAGTGGCAGATTTTATTTTCTTGGGATCCAAAATCACTGTGGACAGTGACTGCAGTCAGGAAATTAAAAAGAGGCTTGCTCCTTGGAAGAAGAGCTATGAAAAACCCAGATAGTGTATTAAAGAGAGACATTACTTTGCCAACAAAGGTCCGTAAAGTCAAAGCTATGCTTTTCCCAGTAGTCATATATGATGTGAAAGTTGGACCATAAGGCTGAGCACCAAAGAATTGATACATTTAATTGTGAAGCTGGAGAAGACTCTTCAGAGTCCCTTGGACAGCATGGAGATCAAACCAATCAATCCTCAAGGAAATCAACTCTGAATATTCACTAGAAGGACTGATGCTGAAGCTGAAACTCCAATACTTTGGCCACCGGATGCGAAGAGCTGACTCACTGAAAAAGACTCTAATGTTGGAAAAGATTGAAAGCAGGAGGAGAAGGGGAAGACACAGGATGAGATGGTTAGATTTCATCACTGACTCGATAGACATGAGTTTGAACAAGCTCTGGGAGTTGGTGACAGACAGGGAAGCCTAGTGTGCTGCAGTCCATGAGGTCACAAAGAGTCGGACACTGAACGACTGAACTGGACTATAGCCAGTCAGTTCCTAATAAATTATTATTTGCTGTTTATTTTCTATGTATTTTAGACTATGGAAATGATGTTAGAGAAAAAGCAAATTTGAGCAATTTTCTTATTTGACTTCAAATGGGTCATAAATCAGCAGACAACTCACAACATCAACAACACATCTGGCTCAGGAACTGCTAATAAACGTACAGCATAGTGGTGGTTCAAGAAGGTTTGCAAACGAGACGAGTCTTGAAAGTAAGAAGCACAGTGGCTGGCCATCAGAAGTTGACAACAATCATCTGAAAAGATCATTGAAACTGAT